AATCTTCTGTGAAATAGATCCCATGCTAATTCAAGGGGTGGCTTCAAACTTTTAAACTGTAGTATGTATACTAAAATTTGAAGACTTTACATAAAATGCTTTGGCCTTTTTTGTTGGAAATGTAGAATAAAAGTTTTATATTATGAGCTGAGTCTGCATTATGCACACAAAGAGGAAGATTTTATTTACTCTCATTTTATAAACAGCCAACAGCTGTATAATCATTTTTTAGATTATTAAAACTTAGCAGCTTCCTTCATTATATTTTCTCAAATTAATGTTGTAAATATCATTGTCTGTAATACAATCTACATTCCTAAATATTGTTTGCCTGATAAACAAAGATTTTATGACTCACATATATTTGTAAAACTTACCTTTTTTTAATAAGTCATTCCGGATCTAACTTGTTTTATTAATAAATGATTTATGAATCTGGATTGATTCTAAAATAGCTGCTAAAGTAGATACTTGCTTAGCTTAGTTTAGTTTAGCACAAGGTCACAATATTGGAGCAGTCAGTGTGGATCAAACTTCATACACTAGCAACCATTTGTAAGACTTTCCCTAATTTTTTGTCTATGGTAGGTGCCTTGATAAATGTTTATATCTTGTAAATAGTACATAAATATATACTAATATATACATTGGTAAATTCTGTTTTCTCTTCTGATCTATAAACATATCAAAATAGTATTAGAGAAGGATGAAGATGTGTAAATAGTGTAACAGTGATCAGTACAGAAAGTTCAAATTTTCTCCTGTTCCTCTTGGGGTTTAAATAGCAAAAGTTAGATTTGGGTGGCAGTCTAAGAGAAGGACAACTGGGAATTCAAAAACTATGGAGAAGGCAACAGGAAATGACTCGACTTTATTTCCCCAGAATGCATGATAGTCCACAGATAATATAAAAGGACACTAGGGAACCATGATTGCCTACGCCTTGAAGGGACATAGCTTTTCAGAATAGAAGGGTAAACTGGACTCCACTAACTTCCCCAAAAATGCATGGCAGTTCACAGATAATAAAGAAAAGGGAAATTGTGGAGATCCATGATCGCCTATATCCTGAAGGGCATTTAAATAAAGAGAATAATAAGTAAGAGTATAAATAGTAATCAGGTAGATAACTGTATGGAAAGAAGGTGGAAGAAGTAGATTATGTATACAAATGTAAGTTGCAATCAGTATTCATGCATTAATTAAATTGTAAAGTTAACATAACACAACAAAATTGGTCTTGTATCAATAAAGAGTATCTTCCTATTTTTGCTTTTGTTTTTTAAGGGATCATCTTATTGTTATAAATATTTAATGCATACATATTAACATTTTTCTTCACTTGTATGTAATATTGTATTAAGAAGGCAGAGGTGTTGTTTATGTATTCAAAGTGTTGATATTTTTGTGGGTGACAGTTTTTACCTGCAGCTTTATGCTACTCTGACAGAAATATCCTCCCCATGAGAACCAGGAGCATGGTTGGATGATTTTTCCATGGTGCATTGCAAATGAAAAATAGAAAAACTTATGCCAGATCACTGTTGTTTATTTGTAATTCATGGAAGGCTATTAACCTGTTAGCATCTAATGAAATTTTTGTCAGTTCTGTTTCTAAATTTAACACATTTATTTCCTCTGCTTTTTTTGACTCGTAGAATTTAAAACCCTTGACTTCTCATTCAGTTTGATTAATTTCAGTTAAATATTATATAATTATTTTTCACATAATTTTAGTCCTTTAATAACCTACAACTGAATTGACCAAAATGGTAATTCTGAGTTTTTTCTTTTTAAATCATTCTAACATTATTTTTCAGTGTTAGAATGATTTAAAAATCAAGCAACATTTTTTTTTGTATTTTTTAAGAAAGATAAAAATGTGACTGAAAGGTTCAAAAATTGCAATTTATGAAGATACTCTGAATGATGAAATTTATTAAAAGTGGTTTGTAATGTTGTGCATTTCTTACTGAATGTTTCTCTATGATTGGAACAACAAATCCAGATGGATAGTAATCAAATTAAAATATTATTTCAGAGTAATTAACATACTGAAAATCATTTGCATCAGCTTGGTTATGTTAGTTGTTTTGATGTATAGATTCCACAAGTAAAAAACAAAAAAAATATACCTATACTCAACTTCATTTTTTATGTGATTCATTACTTTAATGTAATGAAATTTTATTTTTTTAACTAAATTTTGATAGATGATAAAATGTGGATACTTAACAACAATATGCAATGCAAGATATCATGGGACAAGTGAAATGAACCACCGCTAATCATACCAAAGTCTGGTCTTCATCAAAAAGAAGATCATGCTTCATCATCTTCTAGAGAACCAAACAATTTTAATAATTACTGTTCCTAACTATACCACTTGTAAAGCATTTGCAATGGATGATCCCTTTCTTTACACTGTATGGATGGTGGGAGTTGAAATTGAGGTACTGTCCGGTGAATGTCAGTTTACGGTATATGGATGTCTTAAACCCATGCTCTGTTCGAGATATTAGAACATCCAGGATTGGGAGTGTGTTGTTATTCTCTTTCTCCATTGTGAACTGTATCGAAGGTCTTATTGAGTTCACATGGTCCAGTAGAACCTGGACATCTTCCTGGTGTGGCCAGAGTATGAAGGTGTCATCTACGTACCTTAACCATATAGTTGGCTTTAGAGATATAGATTCCAATGCCATTTCAAAGTATTCCATGTATATATTTGCCATTGCTGGTGATAATGGTGAGCCCATTGCTAAGCCCTCATCCTGTCAATATATGTGTGATCCCATTCCGAAGTGTGTTGTTTGTGTACAGAAAGTCAACATCTCCATCAGATTACCTATTGGAATACTGGTCCGTTCTTCTAGGGAAGAGTCAGAGACCAATCTGTCTCTGACTACTGAGAGTGCCTCCTCTGTGAGTACCTTGGTGAACAAACTCACCACGTCCAAGCTACCATCTGGTTGGATAGGATGGGAGCATCTTTGATTATTTCCACAAAGTGGGCGGAGTTTCGGACATATGAAGGAGACTTTCCGATTAATGGATCAACTATATCTACAAGGAAGCGACTCAGAGGGTGGAACACAGAGCCTTGGCAACTAACAATCGGCCTGAGCGGAATACCGTCTTTGTGAATCTTAGGGAGACTGTATATGTGAGGTAGCTTGGTGTAACACTGCGATAACTGCCTCTACATCTTAGGTGCAAAGTGATCCTTGTTCTTGATTAGGATGTGTGACAGTTTGCATTTACTTATCATGCAGAAAATTAAGTTTAAACTATCATCAATTTATTTTCCATGTGTATATGAAAAATATAAAAACAGAATAAGCAAAAGTTTTACAGGTTATTATTAAATTGTTACAAATGCTGGTCATTGGCTGTTAATGAGGTAACTTCATGACCCTGCAATAAAGAAATAAGTTTTATAATAACAATGTATCCCATTTGTGTAAATAGGTGGACCTGAAATTAACATTTCAATGACCAAATATCAGAATTCAGATTTTGAAAAGTTGGTCAGATTGACAACATTGAAATGTTGTAGATCTGACCCACCAACTCAAAAAATAAAAATGGATGATGCTAATTTTGAAGGCTCTTTGTGTATGATGTGAAAAATATTCTGCCTGATTGCAGATTTTATAGGTAACATTCAGAACATTTGGCCATTGTATGCTCCAGCCTTCTTCAATTTCGAACTGAAATTTATTTAGTCCACTAGAATGGGATAGATCGTTCTATTTTCACAGGCCATACCTTTTCTGGATATCTCAGGTTCAGTTATTTCCCTTTAGTAACTTAACTCTCCACCTATGCTGTAACTAGGTATTGAATTCACAATTCTGGATCAAGTCACTAGATTATTTCAACCAACACTTATCCACTGGGCCATGTATCCTTGGGGACATCAGTGAATTAATTTTTGGGACTTATAAATCTAATGTCTCAGTAATCATTTTTTGTTTTTTTTTTTACCAAAGCTCATATTACGGCTGAAACATTGTGAATATGACAGTAAAAACAAGGACTAATAGTCTGAACAATGTAAATAGTTACAATACCTCATCTCAGAAATATACACAGACAAAATGTAGTCATGATTTGTATAGGTTAAAATGAATGTTAGATTTATAAAACAAGTAAACCAGTGGGTATATCAGTCTTGAGTTGGTGTTCAAGTTCAGATAAAAATCAGGATTTTGAATGCTGATTTTCAAGGCAGTCAGACCCCCTCCACCTCTACTTGGAATATAATCTATTTCCATATTCCTGATTTGATTTTGAGTCAGCTTAAATTGTGTTTAGTGAATAAAGCAAGCAATACAAATGAAATAATTTCTCCCCTGTGGAACTCTTTTCCAGCTTCTTGCTAACTATGATCTTCAAAAATTAACTGCAATGTCAATCACCATCTTGTACCTCTTTGAATCTCATCATTTTTATTGTCCTTTCTCTTCAGTAACGTTTTCTTCACTCTCAGTAAACCTTTGCATCTTATCACCTTGCTTGGAATGAAATGATTAAAAAAAAAAAAGAATTTGTAATTTGATTAGTTTGGTTCTTTAGTTCCACCTGCTCAGAGCTTTCATGGAGTTGAATCATGCACGTTTCCTCTGTATTCCAAATGTAAGAAGTTCCTCTTGGACAGCTTTTTCTAAAGAACTGCTACTTTGTAGAACAGGTTCTCATGTAAATGCTTCACTGAACACTTCAATCTTGACCTCTTCAAGATAAAGGTCAGTCATTATCTATTCTCCTTATCCCCATAATCATTTCTTTTCACTTTCTATTCTATTCATCTCATACACCTCATTCATCATTACCATTTCAACTGTAATATTCTACCTTGAGTGTACCTTGTATCGGAGGTGGAGAATTTAATTCACAAAATATAAAAAGTAAAAATAAACAAAAAGGAAGTGGTTTTCTACTCTGTCAACAACTTGAGATAATACACATTTGTTTTTGTTTTTAACTATTATCACTGAAAACACTGGTTCTCATCTGATCACTGAAGTTAAACAGTTTTCAGCTTGGTCAGTACTTAGTTGGAGGACTGCATGGGAACATCGGATACTGTAAGTAACTTTCTACAATCTGAATTAGGTTTTGATGTTAAATAACCCACAAAGGTTGATAAGCTATAAAAAACCAAATCAGTTTGAACTATAGTATCTTGTCTTTTGTAATCTCTTATCACAATATTTTTTCATAATATGTTCTGGAGCCTTCAAATTGTCAAAATTTGTAACAAGGCTTTAGACAAGGTTATTTTGCATATTATACCAGAAAGATGATACACAGTAAAAAATGTCTAGAGTAATAGAAATACATCTTCTCAGATGACGTAAAATAGTTATTGTAGTACTACTACATTTTGTTGACAATCTACTACAGCTACTACTATTATTACTAGTTTGTTAACAAAATATGTATGAAATTGGAACAAAGGTAGCAGCAGGAATAAAATGTCTTGCCAGTTGCTTTACTGGTCAAAATGGCATAAGCATTGCTCCATGTCATAGCAAGCTCCTGTGGTATGAGATGATTGTTTCAGTTTTGTTTGAAACTATTTCTTTGTTCTGATTTTGATGTAATTTAAAAGTCAAACAATATATTTGTCAAAATCAGAAAAAGAAAAACAACTCCAGAATATATTACGTAAATGTCAGAAATAAATAATAGTTCCTTCTAATATCAATTTTTTTCAATACAATTTTTTTAGGATTTATGTTGCAATTGCAAATTCTTTACAAATTCACTTGTTTTGTTGTTCTTTACTTTAATTTTTCACATTTTATGAATTCTCCATCTAAATATCCTTTTCCTTGTTTTTACTGATGTCTTGGCATTTCTTTTGTCATTATTTCATTAAGTATTGGGACTAATTTCAGCTAGTATGTTTTTTGGCTTTCTTTAGGTAGTGTCTGGTAATCTTTAAGCATCAGCCAATATATATTTTTAATCATCTTTCCAATTGGAACATTTTATATGCAGTATGTTCAAACAATGGGATCACAGCTATGACTAGCTTAGACCAGCTCTGACCAGCTTGGACAAGCTATGACCTGCTTGGACCAGCGGCCCGAGTGAAAAACATTCGGGTCCCCACGTTAAAAACTGACCTTGTGACACAACCTGACTCAGTGGGGGGTCAAGTAAATACACAATGGGATCAAGCAGACAGTTGTGGTTTTTGAACCCCTGAATGATTTTTCAGTTTAATTGTGGTACTCAATTTGTTTTTTTTTTTTTTGGTGGGGGGTCACCATGCCAAAAAATGGTTTCAACAGCCCAATAAACAAAAGATTTGGGGTCCAGATCATGATTTTCTGATGAATATAAAGAAAATTATAATTGAAAACTGACATTTGGTGCCCAGTATATGGTGCCAAGAGTGGGTAATGGTCAATTAAACATATGAAGAGAACTGAATATATATAAATATCTTCCCAAGAACAATTTCCTTAGATTTTGCAGATTTAAATTGTTTTAATATTTGGTAACTGAGGCTAAAAAGAAGAAAAAACTTGTCTCTGGCATTGTTTGAATTCTGGGGTCTGAGACAAAAAGCAGGTAAAATATGGCAAAAAATATGTGTTATTTTGAGAGAATTTTTTATTGTAGGGCCTCCAAAATCCACATGATAAAAGTCATTTTTGAAAAAAGACTATCAAGCTGTTTATAGTAGTCATTTCAACAAGATTCCAATGGCTTTCTTAGCAAAAAGAGACAGAAAAAAATCATCTAAAAGTAAATGATTAAAGATATAGGAGATTTGATTAACATTAAATGATCATGACTTGACAAATATTTGCAATTAGGATAAAATTAGACTAGTTCTGAAATCCTGTTATTGTCTACATTCGGACTAGATATACCACTTGGAAGTGGGGGTGGGTGGGAAACTTGACAAATATTTGCAATTAGGATAAAATTAGACTAGTTCTGAAATCTTGTTGCTATCTACATTCGGACTAGATATACCACTTGGAAGTGGGGGTAGGTGGAAAACTTGACAAATATTTGCAATTAGGATAAAATTAGACTAGTTCTGAAATCCTGTTACTGTCTACATTCGGACTACATATACCACTTGGAAGTGGGGGTGGGTGGGAAACTTGACAAATATTTGCAATTAGGATAAAATTAGACTAGTTCTGAAATCCTGTTATTGTCTACATTCGGACTAGATATACCACTTGGAAGTGGGGGTGGGTGGGAAACTTGACAAATATTTGCAATTAGGATAAAATTAGACTAGTTCTGAAATCCTGTTACTGTCTACATTCGGACTAGATATACCACTTGGAGCGGGGGGGTAAACTTGACAAATATTCCAAATATCCATTTGTGGTGTAGATTCCGTAGTACCAAAGTGTTATAAAAAGTGAAATATTTTGGAGGAAGGAAAAAGACACTTGTTAAATTGTTTAGCACATATATTAAGTTTTTTTATATGAAGAACCTTTACCAACACACTACAAAGTTTCTTACAAATCATAATCATAATAAATGAAGGATATTTTCTGTTAAATGAAAAGTACTAAATGACTTCCAAGGACTAATGGGAGGCAGCAGAAAGAAAAGAAAATAATAAAACTTGAGAGAAAATAATTTTCTTTATATCAGATTAAATGTTTTTCTTTAGGGAAACTTTCAATCTTTCCAAAATTAATGAAAAAAAATTTTGTAGTTTGAATTTGTTCTATAATATAAAACCCAATATCACTTCATATATTTATTGGTCCTGTGGTCTGATCTCCACTAATGAGATATTTTGTTGAAATCACAGCAGGAGGCATTATATGACATTAATAAGCAAACATGACTTGTGTTATCATAACACTGGAATATCTCAGTAGAGGAGATCAGGTTTCTAATACATTGTGTTTTACTTTTTTTGTTAGCTTTCTTTATATATTTCTCCTTTTAATGATCTAGAACAGGGTTTTTCAATCTGTGGTTACCTGACACTTCATTGGATTGTAGCAAAAAAGATAGGAAGAAAAATAAATATGCAAGTGATAGCAAAGTGCAGAATATAAACAACTTTAAATGTTGCACAACACTCATAAATCATTGCTAGTTTTTCACCGAGGTAAGCTCCTATTATATATTTTTTTTTAAATATAAATATATATATATATATATATATATATATATATATATATATATATATAGTCTGTTCTGATTGAGTTTATGTATCTTGTTTTGGATTAAGAACAAAGGGGAATTTTCACTACTATTTTATTACTATTGCCTTTTACAACTACTTGAGTAAATTGTGATTTTCCACATTAACTCAATTTAAGATGAAGGACAGAAACAGGCTCAACACTGCATGCATGTAGCATTGTCTTCCTGTTCCCAATTGGAATCAGTTGCTTATAAAGAAACAAATATATCCATCTCATTAAATCACATTTTTTTCAAATATTATTTACTTTACCTTTGTATCGGAATTTCCTTTAAATTTGTTTTTCTAAAAGTAATTTTATATTCATATAAATTGTCAATGCTAAACATATTGAACAGAGTTTGTCTTTGATTTATTACACATAGGTATAATGGGTCATAATGCAAAATGTGGTTCTTACTGTGGTCCAGAGCAAAAAAAGAAAAGTTTGAAAAACACTGATCTAGAAGGTTAAATTATTTTTTACATGTAACAATAGAGTTAATTATACAGATAAATTTATATAGATAAATGTTTTAGATTACTCATTCAGAAAATATAACCAGTGCAGTTTCAAAATTACTGAAATATGACTGCCATTTTATTTTTTTGATGCTATAGGCAAAGTAGTTTTTGCAATATCCAAAATAAGTTTGAATTCCACTGATAAGGAATTTAATCATCAAATGAAGTGAATAAATAAAAATATATGATATATAAATAAATAATTCTTTTTACAATTGATTTTCTTGTAAACAAAATTATTTGTGATCAAAATGCAAATTTCCAATTTGATTTTGATCTCTCTTTCCTATTCTTTTGTAGTAATCTCTGTTGAGTGATATGCATATAAACCCTTCCATGATTTCTGCTATCATCTCTAATCTGGACCCCTACAAAGCATGTGAATTTGATTGTATCCCTGTATTAGTACTTAAGAAATGTGCCCCTAGAACTGGCTACTGGATTCTCTAAACTGTGTAATAAATGCCTTTTGTTTTCCTGATTGTTGGAAATCCTTATCTTTTGTTCCAGTCTTTATGAACTTAGGTGAACTCTCCAATTCTTCCAACTATCAGACTGTTAGCCTTCTACCACTTTTTGGTAAACTACTAGAGGCTTTAATCAATGCTGAATTAGTTAAGTATAACAGGGCCTTCTTTCAGACAAACAATATGGCTTTCATTTCTTTAGGTCAACTGCTGATGTATTAACGATTATTGCTGAAAGAGTCTATCAAACTTTAGATAAAAATGGTGAAACTTTGTTGCTTTGGACATCTTGAAAGCTTTTGACAGGGTTTGGCATACTGGTCTTCTTCACAAGTTGAAAAGTTATGATGTCTCCAGACAAATTTTTGAACTGATTCAGTCTTTCTTATCAAATCTTTCCCATCTTATTTTCATTCATTTTGTTTATTTGCTCAGTTCTGTCAGTAATTGCAGAATATATATATATGCAAGAGTCATGGTGATATTATAGTTGTTAACACTTCCTCTGGCCTTGCTTTCATAGCTGAATGAGGCGAGAGGACTGGTATGTAACATACTCCAAAACCAAGCTAGTAACATTTCATCACAGCAGACTCTTGAATTTCTTCAAACATGATGAAAGGTTGTACTCTTAATGAGGTTCCTTGTCTGGAACATTTAAGCTCACACCAGTGCAAGTGATATATACCCATTGTTAAAGATACTGCAAAAATGATCACCTCCCTGTACTGCTCCAGAAAGTATCTGACACCTCCTGACATGCTGTTTATCTACAAGAGCCAGATCAGATCAAAAATGGAGTATTGCTGTCACATTTAGGTCAGAGCTGCACAATCCTCATGTTCTGACCTTGATAAAGTTCAAAAGTATTTGCTCAGCCTTGTGGGTGATGAATTATTTTCCACTCTTC